GAGACGAGCGCCTCACAGGAGCTGCTGAGTCTTCATTCACTTTTGATCTGGTCTGCTGTATAGCCTTGGCTTTTTCAACCAGCTGCTTTGCTTTGGATATATTTTTAGAAGTGGAGTGTATCTGTTAACAAAAAACAAAGAAACCGAAATAGCAATTAATAGCACTCACTTCACTAAGTACTTTGCATATAATTTTTCACTTTCATTGAAGTATGTGATTGTTACAAAATTTCATTGGTACCAAAAAGAAAATGAAATAATTGAAAGGACAAGCAAACCAAGATGATACCAACAATTTTCAAAAGAGAGTGAGAGCCCTGCAGGGAGATCCCCAATTTTTTCATGGAACAAAGAAAATATGGGCAGTGATATTCTTAAGCCTGAGCTGTGCCCAAACACTATCACAAATCACTGGATCATTTAGGTTGGAAAAAACCTCTGAGATCATCAAGTCCAACCTCTGGCCAATCACCACCGTGTGAAATAAACTATGGCACTGAGTACCACATCCAGTTTCTATATCCCATCCTGAGAACCTGCAGCACAGGAACATGCTATTTTATGGGATTTTTCTATTATGAAAGGTGGATTTTTACTAATAAAACATGTTTTAAGATCTAAGGTACAAGAAACTCCCTCAAATTTCATCATAAATCAGACTATATTCCCTTTCCATAGGGCAGCTCAGAAGTGTCATATTGTATTATACTAGGTTGTTACACAATACTGATAATACCACAGTTATACCCATATAGGAAATGACAAAATACTGACACTAATTGTTACATAAATTACCTTTATGTTTCCGGAGTGAGACTCTTCATTTTTCATTGCTTCAGCTTTATTTGATTTTGTAGCTGCTTTGATACGTGTAAACCTCATTCTAATTAGGGAAAGAAGTATTAGGAAATTATTAACGGTTAATAAAGGGAAATGTTACTCTCAATCTCATTTTCAAAAGCCTTTAAAAATACAGTGCTGTAAACAGAAGCAACTCCCCAACTGGTGGCTGAAGTTTTTTTGTTGTTTGGTTGGGGTTTTTTTTTATGTCTTTGGTACAAACACATTAATAATTTATAGTCAGCTTTGGTTCTTTTCTATTTTTACCCACCATGATCAGTATCCATGCATCTCTGGTATACAATCCATTTATAATTAGGTCTTATTTTCAAAATACTTGCATACAATTAACGTGCAAAAAGGTAGAATATACTATGAAAGGTTTACCTTATTGGGCTGCTTCCATCAAAGGGCACAGTAATCACCTCAGCTCGGTACATGCTGCTTTTCTTGCAGGATTGTCTGGGTGCTTTTGGGGTGGAAGTCTCTAATGGGCAGGAGCTTAATTCATCTGCAGAACAGCCACTTCTAGCCCTGGGCTTTTTAGGAGTAACATTTGTTGATGTTTTGGTTTTCTGCTGCCTTGAGCTCCTCCTTAACTCACTCACTTCTGGACTTGATGAAATGATTACATTTACAGTGTTTTCCACAGAAACAACACTAGCACCTGAATCCTCTTCTCCAGAATAATTGCTGGTGTTTGAGACATCAATTTCCTTAGTTTCTGAAGCCTTCTTTCTTCTGTTTTCTTTTTTCTGAACCTTCTTAGATCTTCTGGGTTTAGTTCTATTGCTTTTAGGTTTGGAATGTGTGTATTTGTCTACATTATTTTCTGGTATCCCGCTTTCTAATTCTTTATTAGAAGGAACGACATCTTCAGATCCTTCTTCTTCTTTTGAAGACTTTGCAGCAGCTTGCTTTTGTTTTCCAGGTGCCTTTTTAACTCCACCTTTTGTTACATCTGCTGTTGGTTGTCTAAAAGCTTTCATAAATTGATGCTTTTCTTCCAGAGTACATTTTGGCCTCAGAGAATCCAACCCTGCAGTCTCCAGAACAGCCAGCTCCAATTCTTCTTCCTCAATAACGACATTGGACTTTCTTTTCTGAGTCACCTGTTCCATTTGCTCACTGTCCAAGAGGGCTGGGCTGCTTTCTTTTTCCCTTGCACGTCCCTTCTGCTTCAAAAAAATGGAAGCTATTTTCCTAGAGCTTTTCTGCTCCTTATGTGAGGGAGGTAATTTGGGGGGAATGGAATGAACTTGTGCAAGGACAGTCACTGTTCTGAGTGGCAGCTGTTGGGATTCCTCACACTTTTCTGGATCACTAATACTATCACTTTTGTCCATTTCATTTGCTGTACCAGAAGTGTCCATTGCTGATTTTGTGTCTTCTTCAACATTATTTTCTCCCTGACTTCTCAAGAAGTCTTCAAATGACACTGTTATTATACAATTATTTACCTGGGATGTCCCATCATCCATATGAACTTCAAAACTGGAATCACCAATAGCAGCATCACACTCTGCTACTGTATGTGTCTTCTCTTCAGTTTCGTTTGTACACATTTCATTCATCTGGTTTTCCAATGAAAAGTTTTCAGACAAATCAATATTTACTTTGTGCTTCCTTTCCCTTGATTTTCTTATCCTATTTTTTGATCCATTTGCTTCACAGCCAAAGCTTTTTGTATTTTTTTTGGAGGGGACAACATTTGGGAAGTTCTCTCTTTGATCATCTTCTGCTAATTCTCTTGCACATTTTTTGTCTACTAGAGTACAAGAAGCAATAGAGTCATTACTATCTTGTTGCAGTCCTGTAGCTACTCTGCTGTCATCACTGCTAATTTCAATTTCAAGGTCATACTCAGATTCTTTCCTTTCTTTTGGCATATTATTTAAATTTACTTTCTTCCCTTTTCTCTTCCGCTTTAAGGATGGCTTGAAAGATGATTTACACTCTTTGTCATCAGCATCCAACAGTGTTTTATTTTCTCCAGCTCCTACTGGGAATGCAGCATTCTCAGTTGCAGATGTCTTTTTAAAATAATCCAAGATATTGTTGGATTTCGGTGATGACAATGCTTTATCCACTGGTTTTGCTAATGGTGAAAAATACCTCGTGATTCTTTTTACAGAAGCATCTTCCTCTCGTCGCTTCTTGCATGGCTGTAAAAGGTACAACATGAATCTTAGTTTTTAAAACATAAGATGACTTACATAGAACTTTTTCAGAAGACAAAAATTCATGCTAATGTGCTCAGACTGTGCACGCATAACTATATCTCCGTGTTTTCAAAGGCCATCTAAGCTTGAAATAAAGATCCTGATGTTTCAGATTAATAAAAATCCTGTTCTGAAACCTTGAGATGGTCAAAACTGAAAGGGACCACAAGGTCTTCAGATCAGCTCTGCAGAGATTTCACAATACTGTAAGTCTGAAAATCTACATCAATTCACATGATCGACCTTGAGGTGCTCCCCAGAGTGTCTGTTGAGCATTTAGGAGGGAATTCCAACATCACTTAAAAAAGTCTGATCCTACCGTAAAGATCTGACTTATGTTAAGAAGACACTGCACATTTAAGAGTACTTAAAAAAGTGAACACAAGAGAATTCTTATCTCGTATAACGATTCAAACCAAAAAAGAGCATTTACTTCTACAGCTCCAAGAGAGCTCATAAAGACTTTTACAACTCCTAGTTTACCAGAAAATGAACTCATCTGAAACCACACCCTCTGAAGCAGAAAGCGGCTCTTCCCAAAGCCCCTCGAATGCGTTTAATGACAGCCCGGGCCGCGGGGCTGCGCCGACCGTCAGCAGCGCCGGGGAGCCCGGGCCGGGGACAGGCGGCCCCTCACACCTCCCCGGGTACAGCGGACGGGCCGTGCCAGGGCAGAACGCCAAAGGGGCGATCGCTAAAGGGGGCGATCGCCAAAGGGGGCGACCGCCAAAGGGGGCGACCGCCAAAGGGGCGCACCCCGCCAGCCGCACGCCCTCTCTCCGCCCTCACAGTGCAACCCTGGCCCGCGTCCCCACCTGAACGTCGCCGTCATCCCCGGGGAGGAGGGGAGAGCCGGCCGCCGCGGCCACGGCGACCCTGCCCACCATGCCCCGGCTGCTGCGGGCGCGGAGCCCTCGCGGATCACTCGGGGCGGGGGGAGCGCGGAGCCCTCGGCCCCGAGCGGTGCCTCAGGGGCGAGGGGCGCGCGCCGCCGCCATGGCCCCGATGGCGCCGCCTGACGGGCGCGCGCGCCGGGCGGGCGGTAAAAGCGCGCGCGGGACCAGATTCGGAATCTCCGCGCGGAAGGCGGGGGGCGGGGCCTCGGGCCGCTTCCACGTGACCCGCGCGCGCTGCCCAACGGCCGCCTGTTGTCCAGGTCACGTGACACCGGCGGACAGGCGCGCGCGGTCGCCCCGCCCCTTCTCAGCCGAGGCCATGCCCCCTCCTGCTCCCCCGCCCGCCTTCACCGCTGTCAGTCGGGTTTTCGCGCCGCAGCCGTGACGTCACGCGGCTACCGCGTGCCCTGCCTGCCGATGACGTCGCGCTTCGCTGACGCCACCGGCTGCCGGTCCGTGCCCCGGGGCCGCCTCCCGCTCCCGCCGCGCTTCCCGCCCCGCCCCGCGGATGCGCGGCCCTTCCGGGACCGAGGTCCGCCCACCCCGCCCCGCCCCGCCGCTGCCTCGCTGCCGCCGCGGCTGCCCATGGAGGCCGCCGAGGCCGAGGTGCGCCTCCTCTTGCAGGAGGCTCGGGAGAGCATCGAGGCGGCGCGGAGCTACCGGCGGGAGCTGCAGCAGCGGCTGCGGGGGCTGCACCAGGCGCGGGAGCAGGTGGGGAAGCGGGACGGGACGGGACAGGACGGGACGGGGCTGGGCTCTCCGGAGCTGCCCCGGGAGGAGAGGCCGGAGCCCTGCCCGGGCTGTGCCTGCCCGGTGCCCGCAGACGGACCTGGTGGGGGTGGCCGGCACCAGGAACTCCTCAGGGGCGGCGGCGGACCCCGGCCGCTCCTATCCTGGGGCCCCGTGTTTGTCCACGGTTCCTGGTCCGCCGGGAGAGCCGTGATGGGGCTCAGGTGTGGGGAGGGTGGAGGACGGAGAGCCCTGGGACCGGCTGTGGCCTCGGGGGTGCCGGAGATGGAGGGCGTGGGAATGGGCAGATGTGCGACGTGTCGGGGAAAGGGATGCGATCTGAAATCTGTTACTGAGCTCAGCCTCGTTTTCGGGGACCAGAGGGAGCTTTCGCAGGCAAAAATGCATATCTTAAAGAACTACGTTTTCCAAAGTAGCTGGGCTGTTAAGTCTGATTTAATAGGAAGCATTATTCCCATCTTCACATCAGGTACCTGCCTGGACAGGCTGCTCCCTGCTCTGGATGCCGGGCTGTCCCCATGCACCGCAGTGCCTGGGTCACGTACTCCGTGGGTCAGGCAGGAGGGCTGCCAGCATTCCAGGTTAGCTGGTTTGTCTGCAGCTGTGCAATGGAGCCAGGGCACATTTCCCACTGGGACTGTGACCCACCCGCTGGGAGATGCAGGAGGAGATAGGCAGGTGTGGGCAGGGAGAGCCGGGGCTGGCTCCTCTGCTCAGGCAGCCTCTCAGCATATGGGGCTTGCAGACTGCCTTGATGTCTTTGATTCAGGTCTGCAAGAGGTAAATAAAAACCCAAACAAAACCGAACTTAGCTAGTGTTTCTGTGGTGACTTGTTAGTTTTTCTGAAGCAGATCCCGTTAGTGCAGAAACCTGCTGTAAATCTGGGTGAGTGTCCTGCTCCCAGTGCATGTAGATGATCACTGGACATTTAATTAGTCAGCACTGAAAACACAGGCTGCTTAAGAAAATTAATTGTTCACGGCTCTCTTTCGTCCAAACCTTGTCATTTCAAAGTGTTGCTTGGCAATTCCAAGTGCAGTGAGAGGCAGCCCATGTGCCTTTGTGCAGGGAATGTGTAGTTGGCTCACCTTTCCTTTTCCTCTTGGGGGCAATTTCTTTGCTGTGTGCATGTTTCTGTTTTCTCTCTTTCCATCTTCAGGACCACTTGGTGTTTCGTGCACATCCAAAAGTTCCCTGTGTTCCCAAAGTGCTGAGTGTGCTACACTGGGGTTCATATAGTGGCAGCTTTATTATTTGAGGATTGTTTGGCTGATGGGATAGGACTGATGTGATCACTTACGTTGCATCCTTTTCCTTTGGACCAATGGGACATGATTTTCCACAATCTTCACACAGCTCTGTGTTCAGGGACTTGCATTTCCTCTTTTGCATGATGAGCAGTATCTAATCCTGGGGCTGAGCTGCTGCATTTGTATCTGTCTGTAATGGACCTAAAGAGCTTGGAGAAGTGAGTTTTCTGCCTTCGTTTGCCCCACCCCTTCACAAAGCTAAATACTTCCTTTTTTTTCCTCAAGCATTGAAATTACAAGAAAAGGGAAGCAGAGCTGTGTGGCAGCTGCAGAGCTTCATGAATATTTGTTGAAAAGGAAATTTATTTTACCTAACCAGAGAACTTCCTGTGTTGGTTGTCTGTACTTCTAAAGATCTAGAAATTACGTGTAAGACTGTGAGCGTGTTGCAGCACTTCCTTGTGACTTAGAAAAGTTGTTCACAGGTAGATATTTACTTCTGATTTTTTTCGTCTTTAGCTCAGGGATGTTCAAGTGTGTTTTCTTCCCTATAAGCCAGATTCAGCAAGTTTGCAGACATTTTAATGAGCACTTGTAGAACCTTCTGTGGTCAGGTTCTTCCGGCATCAAAACAGACTTGCTGTTCACACTGTCCTGTCACCAAGGGTGACTGTTTGAACAAAATTGAGAGGAAAGCAGTTTTATGAGGATTTTAAAAATCCAGTGATGTGATAGAGCTTGGAAAAGTGCTCTTAGATAGTCTTCTAAAAGTCTGATAGGTTTTTGTTTGTAAAGAGGATTACCTGTGTATGATGGCATGGTTTTTTGAGTAGGATTCCAGCAGTGGGTTTTTTTGAGGGGCAGCAGGGAGGAGAACTACAGAGCATTTGGATTTTTCTGACAAGAAAAACTCCGTGATTGAAGCACCCGTAATCCAGGTTGTATTTTGCTTAGTTAATATGCTCTTCCCTCATTCAGGCTGGTTTCTTTGCATCCCTCCCTGCTATACACGTACTAAAAATGACTTCAGTTATTTGTTAACTGCCAGTGGTCATTTTTTAAAGCAGACTTCCCTCACAGCTTTTCTCCAGCAAATGTGGATGAGATGCTTCAGAAAAATAAAAGATGTGCCTGACCTTTTCCTTTATCCTGAATCCTTCTTTCCTGTTACCTGTATTCAGATCAAAGATAGTGCAACATTGACCAGAGATGTGCTTGAGCAGCATTTTAGCGATTTGAAAGGGACCCTGAAGAAGCTGCTGGACGAGCGACTGATGTCCCTGCTGCAGGAAGTGGATGTCATAGAGCAGGAGAGCATCAAGCCCCTGGATGAGTGCCAGAAGCTGATAGAGCACGGAGTCAGCACCGCCGATGATCTGCTCCGGGAAGGTGAGGCAGGACCTGGCGCTGTCTTAGCTCTGCCCTCCAGTGTGGATCTGTCAAAAGTCAGGCATATTCCCATTGTTATCAGTGTTTGGCTCCTTTTGGACTTATCTCAATGTTAAGAATTGGGTAGATGTGGTGAAAAGCTGATCGTTATTATCTCCTACAAATCTGTATTTCAACATCTCAATCCTAGGGTGTACACGTGTCAGTGTAGCCTCTCCTGAAGGGCAGGAAGTACCTCTTTGAGAATTATTTCACTATTTCAGATTGATTCTCTACCTCTCCAGGCTAGACAGAAAAGTATGTCAGGCTACTTTGAAATAAAATACATTATGGGTACCACTATAACAAAGTGCCTGTTTTGGTGAAGTAAATTATGTCTGTCTTGCTGAAATAGCAGATGAAATAAACACATTGTCCTGCTGAGTGTAATTATGTTTGCTCTTGGTGGGGAACATGAGGAATAAAATGGCCACTGTATGGGGAAAATTTCTCTAAGAAGTTTGAAGATGAGGCAGACAAAAATGGACATGTGGAATATTGTAAGGGCCAGACTATACCCTGCTGATGCTAAATACCTCGACAGAAAGGAATGTCACTCTTGCCTGTTTTCCCCAGGCTGGAGAACCTACTGGGAGCATGTCTGAGCCATGAGTGTGTTGGCAGTTTCCTTGCATTGTTCTCATGTCTCAACTTTAACTTTCTTTCAGCATGAGCTCAGCTCTGGGAGCTGAAGCACATTGAGCTGTGTCCCAGGGGTGGGAAAGCTCCCAATTCCTCCTCAGCCCTGAGCTTTGTGCTGGCTTGGGAGCTCAGTGCCTCCTGCTCACAGGAGCAGTGACAGCGTTTAAAGATTAATTTGTTGGGGTTTTATCTATCACCACAACTCTGGGACAGCTGATATTCACCTTGTTTTTATTTTAAGTCTCAGGTTACTAAATCAGGGTGGTGGCAGAAGTTTTTCGTGTGAAATTCTATGGGGTCTCATGAGAAGCTGAGTGGCTGCAGTTCCCATCCCCCTGGGAGCTGTGGGCAGGACACAGAGCACAGAGCACACGCTGCAGCTGAGGCAGAGAGGAGTTAAACCTCCGTGGTTATTAAATGTCCTGCTGCCAATTATGACGTGTGCTTTCCTTCAGAGATTTGTAACGTGTGTAATCCTCCACTTGGAAAAGGACTGAGCTTGCTGAAGTTGTAAATTACCCTAAAGTCAAGAGACAGGAGACTGGAATATATGTCTCTGTAAGATGAAGTGTGGGATGCTACTTTATATGGAAAGCTCAGGAAAATATTTGTATTTATCTCCACATTTCAATGCATGGATTATTTCCTTCATTGTGACAATAGTACCATTTTGATTGTAGCAAACAGAGCAATTATTGAAATTATCTCTTGCTTTTAAGTGCTTGCTTTTTTATTTTCTGATTGAAGGTGCTTTGCTTTTTTCTTCAATTAAAGCTGGTGGAGAAAGGGATTAATAATCCTGATTTTTAACATCTGACCCCAGTTCTGCTCCTGTCTGAGACCTGAGGCAAATTATTACATCTGTTATGGGTGTGTCTACAGGTAGCTTTGAGAGCTTCAAAAGTTGCTAGATAGGCTTTATATTTTTACCTGTAATTGCATTTTCCAGCTAAGACTAGAGAAAGTGCTGAGAGTGCTTCACATTTAATTGGTTGTTCATGTCAGAACTGGTTGTTCTTTGAAGCAAAGAATGCCTTCTGTGGATGTTGTCTCATTAGGAATATTTTTACTGTTTGGTTGCAGGAGAGAGTGCAGTCGATGGAGATGTGGGACAACAGAATGAGAAACTTTGCAACTTTACAAAAAAAGCTTTACATATTCAGCTAGATAGGTAAGACACCAAAATTCTGAGGTGATCTGAGGCAGTGGCATGTGTGCTTTTCTTTGTACGGGATCTTTTCTGCTTTGGAACAAAAGCTTTCAGCTCCATTGCCTCAAAATATTCATTTGAGGTGCTGCTGTCCTGTTTGTTTCACAGACTTTCATTGGGGCTGGCACTCACAGAATGGAAGGGGTTTTCACCCTCCATGTGTTCTCTGGAAATACAGGTTGTTTATTTGTGAAGGGTGAAGCCACTCCCTCTAGAACAGCCTATGTTTCAGAGTATTTGCTGACAGACAGACAGTCTGGTTAGGGCTGAAAAACAATATTTTTAGGGCTGAAAAACAATATTTTCTGAGTCTTTTAAGTTTGGAGTGAACGTGCCAATTTCTGCAGCTGTTTTCTCTTTGCAAATCTGCACAGATTCAAGTGTATGGATGAAACAGGAATTTGTAGAAGCTGACCCCTCTCATTACAGCAAACTTTCCTTTCTCAGCTTACCAGAAGTGCCCTCCTTGGTTGATGTGCCTTGTTTATCTGCCCAGCTGGATGACTGCCTCCTTACTATATTGAAAAATCAAATATTCAGACATGGAACTGTGGCATCCCGCCCTCCTGTACAGCTGGAGGAATTTGTGGAAAAGCCTGGAGGTATTTTAGTCCGATGGTGTAAGGTAGGTAAAATATCCCATGTGAAAATGCTTTAGACTTGATTTTTTTTCTAAAAGAACCCAAACAGTCTACTTTCTTTCTGAATTCTCTGCTGCCTTCCAAGGACTAGTCCACTCCAGTGTGGAGTTAAAAACTTGAGAAGAGTTTTTTATAGTAACGGTGTCATTTAAAGATGAGGTAGGCCAGTGGTGGTGTGTGGTTGGTGCTGGGGTTTGTGTCTGCCTGCAGTGACACTTGCTTTAGCTGACCCAGGATAAGGCTGGACCTGCTCTGTTGTGCCTTTACCCCTAAACATATTTGTGTTCCTATGGAGATGCAGTGGATAGAAAAAGAAAATGTTATTATATTAGCTAGTCCAGTAGCCTTTCTCTTCAACACACAAAAACTATTTTTGAGTAAACCACTGCTGTGGTCTGATGTGGTTTAGTTGTTGTTGGACAGCTCTGTGCTCCTTGGCAGCAAACAAACCTTTTTTGTTCTAGCAACAGCCAGTCGTTGTTGGTCACCCTTCACTTGTAAAGGATGTGGACTCAGGTTATTAAACCATAGGCACTGCTCTCACGTGGGGATTTTCTGTGCTATACAGGAGTTCCCTGGGTTTGGTTGTGCGTGGGGGATAATGGAGGGTTTTTTTGAGGGGGTGTGTGTGTAAATACCTTTTGAGTCAGAGATATCAAAGAACTGGAAATCATCCCCTGGAACAGTTTATGAAGGACAACACTAATTTTCCCTTGTTGTTAAAAACTGGCACAGAATTTCTTCTGCAGAGTTGTTTTCAGCTTTTGGCTGAAGGATCTTTTTATATCTCTGCTAGAATGAACAGCCTTCTGTTAAATGTTTCGTCTTCTGTAGATATTTTCTAGCTGTAATAAAGTAATTCTGATACATCTTTTTGTTGGTTCAGACACTGATGTTACTTTCTACAAGGCACATTTTCTGCTCTGAAATACCCCGTGAGTCTGGTCAGCTGCAGTGCTGTCCTGCTGTGCCCCTTCAGAGGGGAAAGGAGAGCCAGAGGGGTGGTTTTTGACACAGTCCCTGTTTCTGCAGGTGGATGAGGATTTCATACCCCAGGACTACCGGCTGCAGTACCGCAAGAGCTCTGCCAGCCACTTCGAGGATGTGTACGTGGGCTCAGAGACAGAGTTCATGGTGCTGCACATCGACCCCAACGTGGATTACCAGTTCCGGGTGTGTGCCCGGGGGGACGGGCGGCAGGAGTGGAGCCCCTGGAGCGTCCCCCAGAGCGGCCGCACCTCGCTGGTGCCCCACGGTACTGCCACCCCTTCCTGCCAGGGCTGCACTGCAGGGAGCCTCTCTGCTGGGGCTGTCCCTGGCTCTGGGGCTGCGTGTGACACGGGATGAGCTGTCCTTCCATCCTACGGCTCATTCTTGGCTTCCTTGGCTGAGGGGCACTCAGTGAACCTTTCACAGGTAGCTCACTGCTTCCTTAGCCTTGGAAAGCACGTGAGCCAAAAGAAAAGCATTGTTTTTTCTTCTCCCTCACCACAACATAAGCACTTAATGACCTACAGCTCATAACAAGCTCTTATCTTGGAGAGAGGAAAACTTAAAATTTTCTTTTCACTTAAAGATTTCTAAGCACAGTAGGTAATGAAGGCTTTCCTTTTCTTACAGTAAGACTTGGCAGGGATTGCAGCGAAGAGTGAACTCCTGTTGAACTCTGAGCTGGAAAATAGTTTTTGTAATTGTAATTTATTTGAAAAACAAATCTCTCCTAAGAAAAAGGCAAAAACAGCTCCTGTTCTTAACCTAGCTTAAGCTGCATGAGGTGGACTGAGTAGACATTGGGACTGGCTTGATTTTGCACAGACAGGATGAAGTTGAGGTTCACAGTTTCCTTGCTTGTTTGTTTGTTTTCTTTGAAGAATGGACAACTGGTCTGGAGGGTTACAGCCTGAGCAGCCGAAGAAACATAGCGCTGCGGAATGATTCTCAGTCGTGTGGTGTGCTCTACTCCAAAGCTCCCACTTATTTTTGTGGGCAAACATTAACATTCAGGCAAGTCCTTTTTGGGTGGCTGGTGTTCGGTGCATCCCCTGTGAGCTGTCACATCTGAATTGTGTGTAAATCTCAGGCATGTTTGAGTTCTAAATCAGCTCAGCTCCAGTCAAGGTAGTGTCTCTATGTGACATCTGACCTTCCTTTAGTTTTGCTTCCTGGCTTTGTAGGAAAACTCCTGATGTTTTTGTAGGACCTGCACTCCAATAAAAGAGAGGTGAGTGAAATCCTGAGGGATGGTAAAATATAGCTCATGCTGAGCAGATCTGTGGAATGTTGAACTTCCTGATGTTTTGTAGCAGCTGTTACTGGCTGAAGTCAGTGGAGCTTTGCCTCTAGTTCCTTTTAACCTTGGGTCAGGGGGTGCTTTCCTTCCCAGACTTATCTCTGTCTCTGAAGACTTTGGACATGAAAACACTGATGTGCTGTTGGGATGACAGTCTGGCAACTGCCTTTAACATCTGAGATAATCAGAGCTGGTCAGACTTAACTGCTTGAAATGGGCATTAGAAGATCCAGAGCGGAAAAGGGATCTTGTGAATTTCAAGCTTTCCATTTGACACAGAACATGATTAAAAACCTTGGCAGCTTTGCTGCCTGTCATTCTATCCCTGAGATGATGCTGTTTAACAGGGTATGAGGAATGTCCTTGTGGATATGTCAGTTGTGATTATAGACCTCAGAGAGTCTGAAGTTTTGTTTCATCTTTTCCCTAGTTAAATAAAACTACTTGCTGTACAGCAGGCAGCCCCCAAAAGGTAATTAAAAAGGGCTGTTCATGATACTTTCATGACTTATTCATGGTGTTTCATTTATCCCTTCCTGATAATGTATGATGTTAACTTTAGATAGTTGTAGTGTGAGGATGTATCCAGTTTCCCTGTGCAAGATGCATAAAAAGATCTAAAGCTTTAATTTGAAATCTCTTGCTAGACTTCTCTTGGCTCAGCAATGCCTGTGAAATTAAAGGCAGAACCTTGAGGTTTCCCTTGGTTCTCTCAGTCCAGTGCTTTTTATTGTTTTTATTGGTAGCATATGGAAATGTTTTGCTTCACATTTTGGTTATGGACTTCTCTCCAAGAGGAGATTGTATCAGGATGGCAGAGCTCAAACAGGCACGTGTCCACAAGAACTGTTGTGACACCAATCTTGACATTGGTGTCACAAACCTCAAAAATCTCAAAGATTGGTTTTATTCCTCCTCCAAGGTGAAAGAGCAGCTTCTTGTTTAGAAGTGTGAGAGATTTTCCTGAGCTGGGAGATGCAGTACTTTGTGCTTGACTTTGTCCTGCTTGTGTTGGAACACAAGTTATTATTCACAAGCAGCTCTGTGTTCTCTGTGTTCAGGACCCAGGCACGGCTTGTCAGTGAGCAGTGAAGCTGTGATAAACACAGTGTTTTGTATCTACACTTTAAAGATAATCTGTGGCAGTTGTCCTGAAGTGAAGCATTTGGCCAAGCCATAGGAAAACATCACTGCTTTAGGTCAAGTCTCTTCCTGTTGCCTTGCAGCCTCCAGGGAGCTGCCCTTAGGGAAGGGAACATTTCCTCACTGTCACCTGCTCTTCATCTCTCTAAAGCTTTGTTTGCCATGGGGAGCCACAGTCCTTGTAGCCAGGCTGGTGATTTGTGCTCACCCAGCAGATGCCCTGTGGTGGCCACATTGACTTTGTCAGGAGCCCAGCACAGCTCTGCTGACAGCTGATGCTGAGGCAGTGCCTGTGATGCCCCTCTCTGTGCTCTGAGGCAAAGGGAAACTGCTGGTGCTTGACCAGGTTCAGTGGCTGGGTTGCAGTGGCTGAGACAAGGTTTTGTTGTGCAGCATTTTTGTTGTGCACCAAAATGAATTTGAAATCTCCTTTAGAGTTGCTTTGGGAAAACATGGTAGATCCTTTCCAAAGTAAAAGCTTCTTGTAGATTCAAATAATCATTTTCCCTTTGCTTTACAGTGCAAGGCTATTGCTCTCTTAGTGACATTCCCAGGGGACTGAAGAACCTAATGGAGTGCAAAAGTAAAACATGGTTCCAATTTTATCTTTGCCTCCAAAGAGTTAACCCGTTGTGTGCCAGTCCACTGCCCCCTTTAATTGCTGGTTCTTGAAAGTTTTGCAGAAGTTTTTCTTTGTTTGCCAATAACCATGGATCAGTCTGTTCTTCCTCTCAAGCTGCAATGAAAATAACAACTGCTTTACTTTCTAGAAAAGACCATCTGAATTTCCTGAGTCACTCAGGCTCTCTGTAAAGTAGAACTTAGCACCTTTGAGAGGTGGCAGTACAAGAGAAAGGACTCAAGTCCAGAGCAGCCCTTCAGTGTGTGAGCTGTGCAGCTTCACTCCTCTGCTGGGGCCCAAAGGGAACGGAGTCCCTGGTCATTTGCACAACTTGTTTGCATTTTCTTCAGTGTTCCTTTCCCCAGACTAAAACTCTAAATACAGCTGAGCAGAAGCCAGACATGTAAATGCTCTTCTAGGCATTGCTTGGTTTGCTGATTTATTATAAAAGCCCAAACCAAACACATCCCCAAAGCAACACCCCATCCTCATCCCATTACAGCAGAACATGCCAGGGTCCAAAAAACCTGTTTTAGTCATGCTTATTAAATCCCTGCTGAAACTACAGCTGTCTTGCCATAATACACTAAGTTGACCAGTAGTGTGGTGTAGCTGAGCATATTGTCTGCTTTAGTCAACTGGAAATAATTTCAAAAGGTCATTTCTAAGCTGTGGCAGTGGAGAATTGAATTAAATAGCACTGGAAGTTTGCAGGAAGCAAGGGTTTGCTTCATATTTTGTACAGATTTTAATAGAGTATTGCTCAGTGGAGTTCTTGGGAAAGCTGGTAGGAATTTTGGTCATTCAGCAGGGATCTCCCCATCAGTTTGGATGAATTTGTTGAGAGCCCTGAGGTCTGGAGTGACTGTCTGGATTTCATGGTATGTTTTGATTTACAGCTTCAGGTTTTGACTTAACTCTTTGATTGTTAGAATTGAGACCGTGGGGCAGCCAGACCGCCGGGACAGCCTGGGGGTGTGCGTGGAGCAGCGGAACGGCGACGACTCCCTGCAGAGGGACAAAGCCGTGTGCATCAGCACAAATGGTGAGTCTGACCCACGGCATTCCTTCCCAAAACACACAGCCCCTGGCTCTTCAGATCCCTGCATTACATAGGAGCAATTTTGATGTATGTGCTGCTTGTGCAGTTAAAAATCTGTGGTGAGATCGCAGATCTCCTCTTCCTGCTCGCAGTTATTGCAGCAGGGTTACTTCCCTATTTGCCTGCAAAAAGTAGAGAGATGTGGTCTTGTGTGTTAGTATGTACAGAAAATGAGAAATATTGTTAGATCTGCTGACTGTTTCAGGGGCAGTATTTGTAAATGGAAAAGAGATGACAAACCAGTTGCCTGCTGTTACTTCTGGCTCGACTGTGACCTTTGACATGGAAGTTGTGCAGTTGGGACCCTGCAGCAACGAGGGAGGAAACTTCAAGCTTCGAGTAACCATCAGCTCTAACAACAGAGAAGTGGTCTTTGACTGGGTACTTGATCAGTGCTGTGGTTCTTTGTATTTTGGATGTTCATTTTCATACCCAGGCTGGAAGGTTTTGGTCTTTTAGCAGCGAGTAAAGGGATTTTTTGTTCTTGCTGTAAAGTGTAATGTTAAAAGCTGGGTTTCCAGCTGTTTGACAACAATCTGGTAACAAACCCCTGTCTTTATAGTACTTGAACTCCACTATATTGTACTTCATACTGGATTAATTTAAACAATAATTGTGAAACATTGGATTTGTTACTCTGGAAAAAGCTAGAAACAAGCATTTGTGTAGGCAAATTAATTTAAGCAGTCCATCAGCCCTTTCCCCTTTTTCCTCTAGACTTGATTTTTGTCAGTATTTCATTGTACTCGTCTCAGGGTACGCGCATTGTGTAGAATTAACTTTGCTTAAAGCTGCTGCTCTGTGAAGCAAGCGTTTTGGGGGTGGTAATGGACCAAAGTTGTATTTCTACCACTCAGAGCACAGTATTTAGAGCAGCCAGGTCCTGCTGTGCTTCCTTGTGCACGATGCTGCCTTAGGAGTCTGAGTGGGCAGCGGGGCCGCCCTGGCAGCCGCTTCCTCCGCGCACGGTACTGTTCATCCCTACAGCAGGGACTCTGAGCCAGCCTGCCTGTCACTGTCTCACTTAAGTGCCTTACTTCCATAGTTCTTGAACTGTTTTCTGTGTTGTCACTTGGAGTATGTTTTCTAGACTAGCTGCATGGTGATGCTTACATTGCCCATGCACAACTGCCAGAGCAGGATTTTATCCTGAGCCTCTCTGAATGTCTTCCCTGGTTACAGTTCACACAGAGCCTGTGTCAGAGCAAGTCTGTGATTTGGTACCTGAGCTCAAGCTGTGCATTGGCAGCTGTGATTCCTCAGAACCCTTGCAATACTCAGAGACAACCTTCTCTTACTCTCTGACGACACAAATGCTGTTGTGATGTGCAGAATTCATGGCAATCCCAAATTCTGCCTGGGGACACGGTGCATGGCTCAAGCACTGCAGACAGACCAATGCTGCTGGAGCTCCACCTGGAGTAAGGGAGATGGGCTTTGGGTGGGCTTCAGGCAGAGCCCAACTGCAGATTTAATCTGGGGTAGTCAGAATTGAAGAGATGGTGGTAAGATAAATAATAGTGTGAATTAAATGACTTGGAATTCAGAAGTTACATAAAGTTACACATTTTTTCTCTAAAGAGCAACTAAGATGGATAAGCTCAGTCTCGAAGAGAGCCAATTCCTGGTTAAAAGATTGCAATGCTACTGGATTTAAAGAATATTTAAAAGTAATACTCACTGAGGGGCATCTTACCTCAAATTCAATTAAAATTAAATGTATTTTATCGTTAGAATAGCACTATTTTTATAAAGCCTAGACAATCATACTGCCTTTCCTTCAGTGGCAATGTGCTACATTAGCCCTCTATGCTACCATAATAAGCTTAAAGCATAAAAGCTTATTTTACAATTAATTAGCATTGCCCATACTCACACTGTCAGTACAAAAAGATCAGCCATCCTGCCTGAATTTTTCCCCAAGCAGCTGTAGCAGGGGTACAGGAATTTCAGACAAGGAGAATGGCTGTTGGTATTTATACTGACCTATTTACAGGAGGAAAAAAAAGTGTGTGGGTTTAGATGAGTGCAAAGAACCTGCACAAGGCAGAGTTAGGTTGGAATTGGCTGGAAGACTGAAGTGCTGCAGGTCACATTATCCACTGCTAGCAACAAAGGGCCTGCAGCACTCTTAGTTTTTCAAGCTTCACTAGTTCTGTGTTAGGGAAAAAGAGAATACTGGCTTATCCTGTGCTTTCAATGTTACTTCAGTTCTCCTGTAAAGAGTGTTTTCCATACTTTTACAAAAAGGTTCAGTAGATGAAAGTGTCAGTCCTGCTCAGATAGCATCTGACTTAAATCGTGCTCCGTGTAGTAGTGCTGGTGATTCTACTTATACACTTCAGGTATCAGGTACTAGTTGTAACTTAGTACTTTTACCATATGGAGACTAAAATTGTGAATATCCACACTTCTGAGGTACCAACGGGTCAGGTACCTTTTCATTTCCTTTTGGAGGGGCTGGTCAGACTGTAGATTCTGCAGGATTTTTACTTACATATTAGAAAATAAAGCTTAAACCTTCAATTCAGGTACTTCCAGAGGTGGCAATACTGTGTCAGGTTGTTTAGAATATACATAAAAGCAGCTGAAGATGACTGTGAAGGGCCATGAGAGGCCCCTACTGCTGCCCTGACAGCTGGGGAGGACAAGAGAAGTTTTTCTTCCTTCAGGCTTTAGCTGTGTGTTGAATGAGGGCAGTTTGGTTCTTTTGTTGTTATTGTGGTGGTTTTGGTTTTTATTTGAACTTGGCACAAGCCTCGCTGTCCAAATTGCAAATGAGGTACTTTCAGCCACCTCTTGGAGCTGCACCTTGTGAACAGGGGAGGAGTGAAGAGTCTCAGGGCAAGAGACCCGAGCACTAAAGGAACAAAGGATGCAAAGAAGCGGAAGAGGCTTGAACTGAAAGGTGTAAATTCTGTTCTTCCGCAGCAGAGTTCAGCTGGATGGAAAACTTGACACTTCTTGTACAATTTGCACCTCTAGCTCTTGGAGCCCTGCAAGCAACAGAGTGTTAATGGCTTATGAAACCCAATCCTGAAAGTTGTTTTCCTAAGCTAGTACATTCACTTACCTCAACTAAGACTTATGTGTCAAGAGAAATTTGATTTTTTTTTTTAAATAAAAGTTTTATCCCTCAACTGTGTATGGTCTAGAAAATTATTTATTGGGGCATAGAATGCTTTAACAATATAAGAAAATGTTTTCTAGAGCACTGCAGCCATCTTTAAGAGCTTCTCTCCATTTAATCTTCTTCAAAGTCCCAAACAATTTATTTCCGGGTTTCCCACCTGTGCACTTACCTTTATTTCCAAATTTTAACTGACATTTCTTACAAAAATATTTTTTCCTTTCTTTTAATAAAATTTGTTACTGTATCTATGAGCTACTTCCTTCAATATTCCATCACAGCTGATTTGTCTCGTCTCCATTTTTACTGGTGCATTCCGTGGTGCAACTCACAAATCTGTAGTTTTGGCCAGCAGCAGAGGTATTTAATCACCTTCAAATAAAGTCCCTGTTGGACTAACACACAGCTTTACTTCATTGCCTCAGCTCTGCTTTACCTGGAGCCTGTTCCAGTTCTTTGGTCTCTTTTAAAGGAAAAACAGCTCGTGAAACCAGTAAGTGAAGTTGCTGACTTGGCAGCTTTCTCTCATAAATACTCCATTCACATGAGCTTTCTTCATGGCAAAATGCCAAGTGTTTCTCCTCCAGACCTGCAGCTTCACACTCAGATTGAACAGCCTAAAAAATCCCTTCAGGTTAGAGTCAGGGAAGGACTTACCTACTCCAAAGCCTTTGTTTTCTTGGATGTGAAACCAGAGTCAGATTTGTAACAGGGAACACCTCCACTCGCTGATGATGGCACCAGACTTCTGTGAATTAAGAAATATTGAACTTGGAACAATGCTGTCAAAATTGTCCTCACAGAATGCCTCCTGTATTCCCAAAGGTAAAATCAAATTTCTGGTTTGGGAGTTTTGTTTTGTTGATTAGATAAATAATCAGAACAGTTCAAATCATGGGTAACTGTTTCATTCCAGGTAGTGAATCTTTATCCACCCTTCAAAATTCAAGGGCTACATTCAAGACACACTCCAAGCAATGTACACTGATGGTTAACAATTCATCTACCACTTTTGAATATAGTATTAATGCACTGAATTAAATATTCAAATCATATGAGGTTCCAGGTTGGGGTTCACAGACCTGTTGTGATCACCAAGTACAAAACATCATTAAAACCTGCCCTGAGCACACTGAAGGACTGATGAGGAGAACCTGGACAACGATGGAGACAAGAACACACTGCCCAAAGGCAGCCTGAGGTCCAGTCTGCAGAGCCCAGCTGGCACAACCTGCATTTCAGGATCTGGGTCCTAATATGGAAAAAGGTTTCCAGTATCTGCTATTGCAGAGTCACTACTTGGCCAAGCAATGCAATTCCTGACTTGTCTTATAGTACCTGGAGCATCCATCTTCTGCAGTCCCAGAGAAATGGGATTTAAACAGACACCTATTTAAACTTTACTCCATATAAGCCAAATACTTTGTAAAATGTCTGAAAAATTAACGTGTAAAAACTACACAAATCTGAGTTCTATAACTGACAACACAAGTGATGTTTCATTTGCACTTCTATAAATTACAGTTCTGTACAGTAAAGCACCACATTTACACCCATCTCAGGTATTCAAGTTCTACCCCAAGAAAGGAGAAGCAAAGTTTTTGTATCTGGCTAAAACCCTGGAAATTATGAAGATACCTTAAACAGAGCTGTAACAATCTGGCAAAGGAGAACATGTATCCAAATTTTAAGTCATGCAGAAGAGTTTACAGAGGTGCTGCTTGAGGTCTCTGCACATGGAATGATTGGACACCCATCATGGCAGATTTTGTTATTACTGAACTTCATGTACAAAAGCTCATTTCAATTAAAACATTTAATGAAAAACAATGGTTCATTTAAACAGCTAAACCTGTTTTAGGGTTGTTTTTAGGGGGAGAAGGGTTTTCTTTTGTTTTTACATCTAATGTACCATTCAAATTTTTTTAAACCAGCTTACATGGCATCTTCAAAGGTACAAATAGAAAAGGCATCTTTATAAATAGAAAACAAGGGGATTTTTTCAGCTTTTATTATAAATTGACATGACATACAAAGTTTACTGAACAGAAGTAATTTCATTACTATTTTTGGGGGGATCACCAACTTTTTGTGCAAACAATGCTAGCCTTCTTTTAAGCATTAAGAGCATAACTGCTTAAGAAATGACATAAGCAATAATTCTAGAACTACATCTCCCCTAAAATAATCTATTTTTTTACATATGTGCACAGCTTTAGCAAATTAAAGCCAGAGAGAAATGCATGATGTATTATCCAGAGGCAGAATTAGAGTTTGCTAAAACTCAAGAGAGCTGGCAATTCAAGGAGTTTGTAATGAAAAGCTGCAGTTTCCCTCTTTCCTATTTTGTACACAAAATCAGTGACTAAGAACTTAATACTGGATGACGAATCACATCCACACCATTAGTTAAATAGTCTCACAGTTAAACACATCTTAAGGACCATCAAAATCAGTATTTACATTTTATAAATTTCTGAAGACACCATTAGAAAGCTTATATACCCCTTCAACAAATAGGGAACTGCATCTCATGGTGATGGAATGAAATAAAAAACAAAAAATACCTGTATTTACAGCAGCATTGTTCCTTTATAAATAAAGAATATGAAAAATGAAATATTTTAAGGATAATAAAAAATTGAGGTGATGTCACTCAACCACAGTGCTTGCTGGAATAAAACCCTTCGGTGCTGATACTGTACCAGTAGTGAAACCACTTTCCATTGGAAAAAATCTGTAAACGTATGCATAAAATGTGTTAACAGCAGTGCAAAACTGCTCAAATATAGTTTAGTCAGCATCTTAGTATCTGTATTGAATACAATACATCACAGAATACTTACATAAGAAGTGCAACACATTTTCTGGTCCAATTTTACAGTGCATTTTTCCCTCAAGAGTGGCATCTCGAAAGCCAGAGCTAAGCCCACGGCCTGGCCTTGCAGTCTGTGCTGAGGCGAGAGCTTGGCGGGAACGCAGCGCCTGCAGACGGACACGAGGCTCCAGCCTTAGCATGGCACCCAGCATGGGCCACCCCAGGCACAAGGGGCTGCACCCAAATCCTCTCTGTAGCTGTGTAAATGTGTAATAAAAATATAAAGGAGCTAAATGTTCAAGTTTAAAATGGTACACTGGGCGATCAATACATCAGAATTATCCACGAAACCCAAACTGCTGGTTAAACCTCAAAAAGCCAAGGTGGTACTTCACTGTGTCTGGAACGTGAAAAGCCAAGATCTTTCCAAACAGGCACAAGACAAAGGAAGTGCTAAGTTCACCAACTTTGATAATTTTTAGTGTAAAAAAAAAAAATTGATTTGTAATTTATGATCAATTGATAAATGATTTCAAATACAAGGATCAAGGTTAAACTGTAAATAGTCAGACGTCATTTTCACAAAAGGCTAACTGGAGAATTTCTAAATAAGAAAAGCAGAAACTGTATCCCAATCCCTTTTCCCTAATGTTTCACAACTTCATGGTAGGAAAAACAGCCAGATACAGATGCAAAAATCTTAATATAAAAACGGTTTTACATATACTTAAATTATGTAAATTCCATAAAGTTCTTAAGACACTAATTACTAAAATTACAAAAAGATTTTTATATTGCTCTTCATGCTCAAACTCTTAGAATATTGTCATTACATCACCAAAACCAATATACATGAAGTACTTGCATAAGTAACTGAATAAAAACCCTGTTTAAACAATATCCTTGTTGAAATCATTTATTTCCATCCAGCAGTGCCTGTTTGGAATCCCTGTATTTCTGTGTGTAATTCTTTATAGAGCTCATGCACCCTAGAATGTCACTTCAATGCTTGTCCGTTGAATGACAATTGACTTTTGACTTCAGAGCTTCTGCTTCTTGCTCTGTTTCGTGACACCTGAGATGCTCTCCACTTCTGAAATCCTCTCTCTCATGGTATTTTCACTGTATCCATTTGCTGTCCCACTTTGTTCCTCGGAGGATTCCTCGTCTGTCGGGGAGGCCGATTCTCCTTTCTCCAACTTCTGCTGCATCTCTCGGAGCCTGGCCACAGCTTTGTCTATGGACATGATGCTGATCAGGTTAAAGTCATGCATGCTGACCAGGTGGAGCATAAAGTTTCGACACAAGTTCTTCTTAATGATTTTTTGTCCATAGTTTTCAACAAACAGCATACAGGCATGATTCATTTGATTGTCAGCAATAAACCTGTCAAATAAGAAAGCCATCATTATGTAAGCAGAGCATTTGAAAAAACAAAAAGATACTCTACAACATGATTTATCAATGTAACTGCAGAGAGCAGCTATTACACAGTCCAATGTTTTTTCTTTTCAAAGCTCAAATGCTACTAGGCACAAGAACTTCTTTAAAAGCTTAAACTCTCAAAAGCTTATTACAAATTATCC